GTTATTTCTATATTGTTTACTCTTGCATAAGTAAATTTTATGTATGCTCTTCGTAGAAAAATACCCACTAGAATTGGTGGAAAGTCTTAAATAAAACAAATAAAAAATCATGTTTAAGCCGAACAAGTGAGTGCCCAAATAAGAGATTTCGGCAGCAAGAGCACCTAGAACGCTATAACTGATGGAGTTTAACGAGCAAAGCAAGGAAATTATTTGGAGGTTGCTGCAATAGAAAGTTCCGGAGATTTCTACCAGTTGAACGTTTTTCAACGCGAACCTAAATCTAAGTATATGAACCGCATAAATTTTAACCTTCATGACGAATATGTGCTCTGCGGTCACAATGTCTCCCTCGCGAGATCAACATGGCAGGCCACTGGTTCATTGAACGAAAAATTCTCTAATGCTGCAAAGATGAAGAGAGAGAGACAGAAATACAGCTGGCCTATTTTTAACTATTCGAGGGTCCAAGGCGTACATGTACGATTTTTCAAAATACAGTCTTCTGTAAAACATACTAGCAAAATAATAATTTGGCATTTATGGGATGAACTCTGCGGGAAAAAATTGTCATTAATAGAGTTTTAATGCTTAAATGAGAAAACCGGATGTGTTCTTTCATGTCACGGCATTCTACATTGTGGGCTCCCAAAGTAACAGCATTCAGCAGGGAGCCTGATAATCTCTAATTTCCTATCAAACCAGGCTAACAAATTCGCAAGTGCTCTTTGGTGCTTGTCAAGGTCTGACGTGTATGCAGATCTGTGTTTTTTTCCCATGAGGATGAATATATATATATATATATATATATATATATATATATATATATATATATATATATATATATATATATATATATATATTTATATCTATATCTATATATATATATATATATATATATATATATATATATATATACTTTATTTTTTTCTGCTAGTGGTGGTTGTTGGTTAGCTATGTGCTGTAATTCATGGGCGTCTCAGAAATGTGCAAATCATTCAACAAGAAATTCACTGAGTCAAGGTAATAAAGAAGTGCCCTCTTGCATAAAAATTCTCAAAAACCCTTGAAATAGCACTCCAAGTTACTAGTTTTACCAAGACCAACTATATTATAACGAGACTGTTATTTGCACAAATGCGAAAACAATATTAACTGCGACTAAACAGGTGAGCTATCTGGTTTGGAATGTGGTACGTGACAGCTTTCAGGACGTGTTCCTGAAATGAAACAATAATTTAACATGAAATAAATGTTGTTTGTTACTCTTACTGGGAATAAAAGAAAACAGCGATAAGCATTACACTGCTCTAATAGGTGGATGGGGGTATATTTTTCTGTGTGCTGTGCATTACACTGCAGGTCAAGCCCCGCACTAGAGGACATACGTGTCATGAAAGTCGGCAACGACCGTACGATGTGCAACATGACACGTTCAATGTCACTGTTGATACCGATTTGACGTCCCTGCTATTCAAAGCAGAAATGAAATGAAGGGCAATTTTTTTATTTGATGTCACTTTTATGAAGTTTTTCTTTGTCTGCGGCAGCAAACACGAGACAAAGTTATTGAATTGTGTACAGAGCCCCTATTTTTTACTCTCGTAACAGCCACGAGATGTGCACTGCAATATTCAAAATGACAGGCTCAGAGAGAGGTGAGCACGAGATGAAAAACCAGAATTTTTACAACGTACGACGTACTTTTCGTACAGCTGTGCCTTGCCTAAAGTTAGAAGTTCTTGTAAAGTTTCATCTCCCATAACAAGCAATTTTGTGGCCCTTTAAGGGTTCAAATTAAATGCAAATGTCACTTGCTAGGTAACTGTAAGCGCGCACGAGTGGGAAAAGCACTTGAGCTAATATCTCGCACAGCTTGGTTATCGTACAGCTGCCAATTGCAGTTGTACTCGGCGTTGCCCCAGCTCCGTTGGAAGATGTTAGGAGTAGGCAAAAAAACACATGAGCTGCCACCTACCGGTGCCTGGTGTAGAACGGACGTGTTGCGATGCCCGTGGGTTTCCACGAGGCGGCGTGACTTACCACGTAATTTGCACCGTTCACATGGCCGGATGCCTGATGAGATTTTACGTTTCTACCAAGCTCATGTCGTGCAATGTTACATCGCTTAACGACACGCCTTACTCTCCGCAACTTGTCTGAATGAGAAGAATGGTTTTGTGGTAGACGCGCTAGTCAGAATCCGGCTATACTTTTGACTTTTTATGTTTTTCATTGATAGGAACTTACCGTAATGAATAATGCCTTTTTTTTCACCTCAAAGGCTATAACGACACCAACACTGAATGCCCTGTGGTCTTTTAATCCATTTCAGACGATATCGAAAAGATGTTTTGACAAACTTAGTTGCTCCACGATAAAAACGTGTCATCCTAATTAAACTAGATTATAAATGAGCTTCAAAATTACTCCTTTACTATCGTTTTTTTTGTATCTTACAATACTTGTAAGAAAAAAAAATATATCCCTGATATGTTGAAAACGCCTTTTTCTATATTTCACAGTGGTTGGAAGTTCCGCTGTGGTGACTGCGCCAGGGCTCTGAGTTCAATGGTTTCAATGTTTGGGTTCAATGTTTGCTCATTATGTCCGTATGTCAATTGTAAGATAAAGCTGCTTTTGTGGATTGTCGCTTTGACACTATGAGTACGTCTGTTTTACACCACGTCTATGTCAATGAAAAAAATGCCATTTTATTGATGAAGATCGCTTTCGTCTTACTGAGGAATCAGTCAGCTTAACTTTCGCTTCTTCAGAACACGCCAACAAAGTTAAAAAAAGCTAAAGTTTGGGAAAGGCCGCTTCGCCCAAGTGGTGGGCGGGCCCAAAAGAAGGCACAAGCGCTTTCCGCTTGCATGCGGGCTTCCTGAGGGCTCACGCGGTGACCCTCCTTCTCTTGCTTTTTCGTCCTTTCCCTCTATTTTTTGGCCTCATCAGTGATGTCATGAAAGAAATGTTTAGTCCTTGATTTATTTTTAGAAGAATTCCCGGCAACCGCCAGTGGTTCAAGTGGTGCTACCGCTTCATATATTCTATAGCATGCGAGAACTTTCACATGAGACGTGTAGGGAGTGTCTGCCCCCTGTAAAAACTTAGAGTCGGTCTAGTCATATCTTGCGAAGTGTCAAACGTAGGTTATCACACGACGTATGTGCGAGATATGGTGAATGTACCTTGCACATAGGCCCCTGCGATAGCAGCCTGGTTCAAGTGTCCTCCCAGAAGTGAAGTGAGGCTATAGCTTATGTAGTCGGTGTGATCAAGACCTTCGACTATGTTATCACGTTTCGCTTTTGAGAGATACTTCAAGGAGGCCCTGCAGAAGTCTGATCATGATCGGAAAAGACTGCCGACCGGTAGTCAAGGGTCCGGAGAAAACGCCAATCAAATATTATATCAAAGCACTAGGCATGCAATTCACAATATATCCGGACAGCACCAAGCCGCCTACGTCTTTGTGCTGTAGGGACCACCCCCTTCACTTGAGGTAAACTGAAATTAGCATGGGTGGGTAAGACGGTGTGACGAATACCACTCGCTGGTCATGACATGAATAATATCGCAATCCCGTCGAGTACGTTGGAAAACATTTTCTGCCAAACAGTGCCACATACCTGCGGATGCTTATGTGCCACAGGTGATTCACACTTAGTATATACTTGGGAGCCCGAGTACACCCTTGGATGATTTTAACTAGTGAGCGTAAAGAAAGCGCTAATCGGCAGCGTTAGTACGATGAATGCGAAGAATAAATGTCAAGGGCCCCGCAAAAATCAAACTCCAGCCTTCTGCATGGCAATCAAGTATATTGCCACAGAGCTACGCCACGTTTCGAACTGCTTTTTGAATAGACTCTGTAATGTTCCTGAAACGTCCGTTCTGTTTGCAGTGCTGTCTATCCAATATTATAAACTTTACATATGCACTGCTATGAAAAAGTCGGCACGTTGAGTTAACGCCAAATGTATTTAGGAGCCATGCGCTTATGTTTATTTATGTAGCCATTTCCAGAGCTACCATACTCGCAAGCACCAGCGCTTCATATCAACTTAGCACTTCTGGTGTTGCTAGCATCAATCTTGCTGTTGACATTGTTATGCAATTGTAAACAACTGAACATATAACACTTATGCGGCTGTTTAACGTATATCTGCGCATGAATGTTTGCATAGATTTGCTGCCACTTCGTGACAGCAAAAACCACAACAAAGTAACCTTCTATCTGCATTGTTCGCCTAACATCAAGTTCAAAGGTACAAGTGATACGAAGAATATTTAGTGACTACACACGTTCTGGACGGATTATAAAATTTTTGCGTTGGTGTGTCAGTGAGGCAGTAACTTTAGTGAATCTATTTCATAGCTACTTTTTTTATTGGGGCTATGAAAATATTTCCGCACAATGGTTTTTCCGTACAAACTTTTTGGAAGAATTAAAAAATTCACTCGAGGAGACGCCAGAAATGGCTTGCAGGGGTAAAAATAAAAAAAAAAGTAGTGAACAAAAAGTTGATGTCGAGTCAAACACCAATAAACACAATAAGAAGGTCACTTCAGCTGCACAGATGCAAATATCATTCCCTGTATGGTATCAATTACTTCAAGAGAAGGCTACGCTGCCTATCACGGTTTCGCAACTACTAATTCAATACTGGTGATGTCCACAAAGCTGGTTCATTGGGTGGGTTTGTTGTCTGGGGTGTTTTGAATTTGCAGTACCTCACTAAGAGGCCTTAGTGACTCAAATTGCTCAATAACACTGGAAAATGGCAAGGCTAGGTTATAGTTTTTACTAACGTGTTTTTGACGAGATGTAAACAATTTGAATGATTAGTTCAACACGATTTTTATTTGACGCAAAGAGTAATCAACGTCAGTTTTTTCTATTATAGTTTTTTACCAATGCCCCCTTGCCACAACCGTGTCCTGAATTGGAGGTGGGATCGCAACTTTTAATTTCGAAGGAACCGTTTGTCCCATTACTGAAAATTGTCGGGATTCAATCGAGGCAGGTCGCTGCTGCTCCAGATACTAAACACGTCACTTCCGGCCGTCTTTTCGTCGATCCACTCATACATCCTTTGCACGTGCTCAGGCTTGAAGAACTCCTTCCACCTGCCGCATACCGGCGTACGCGTGTAATCCGAGGCCTCGGCGACCTCCAGTGCCTCAGCGAACACGTTCTTGTAGAACTCGGCCGTTGTGATTCGTTCTTTCCCGATGGCCAGGGCGAGTTCGTCGGCCAGTATGGATCGGATCCCCTGGTGGCAGGTCGTTGTCATGTTGTTGGCGCTAGCGATCTTCAACACGTTCGTGAGAAGAACCGGATTTTCCCGAAGTTCTCTGCCGATGCTGGGGTCGACGAAGTCCGCGATACGAATGACTGAAGTTCTGGGGTCGCTCTTCACGTCCTCGTAGGTGACGAAAAGCACGTTCGGATCACTTCTGTGGTCGTACCTGGGGAGGGGTGAACGTCACGAGAGTGTTCATGAGAACAATGAACGAGTCACTAGAGTACATCAATTCAGAGCTAGTGTGCTAGCCTCACGAGCAGCAGAAAATGCAGGTGCTTGAGACCACGTGGCTATGTTATTTCAATAATCAGCAACCACGGACACAAACACGGCAAGAATGTCCTCATAGGGTTGTCATGTGGATATTATGTCTCAGCACTAATGGCTGGTATGAGGGCATTAAAGGCGCTGAGACAATGCTATTGCAAGAACGGCGGTGGTATGCCCAACCACGGCTTGCCATGGCAGAACTAATTACGGGCAAGATTTTACTATATTATGCTGTTTTCTGTAGTTTCTCTAGGTTATACTTGAACGTCTACCCTTTAGTAGTACAAGCAACGAGTCGCACTCTTGGCTCTCTTCCAAACACTTCCTATCGAGAACTCGATTTCAACTTTGGAAACATTCAGAAAAAGTGCTGTGAAAGGCAGGACTTAGCACTGCGATTCGCGTTAGGGCTGATAAGACTTGCCACAGTGAAGTGTGGGCCTGCCGCTGGTCATGCTATACCCGTCGACTGACGCGTGTAACTTCGAGATGCACGACTTCCCGAGCAGTACGCAATTTAATCTGTAGAGACAATCAGGCGCAGCTAAGCTATGTACAATAGAGCGGAGGTTGTGCGGGAGTTACTTTAGGAAAAACTAATTTGTCACTTGCCTCCTCTTTTGTAATCACAGAACAGGCATATGACTCTCTTTAGAGAGGCACTTGACACTTTGGCAGTCATTGTACTCTATTATCAGAGTCGTGTGACCCACAAGAGAGTCAAAATGTATCTCCCAAGTTCCTATACGTGGAACGTCAGGAGTACCCAGAAAGAAACAAAGTACTTTTTTTCTTAGAGTGTGTCTCCATTGGTTGGCGTAGCTTAGCCACTGAGCATGAGCGGCTTGGCCAGGTGGTTTGGTGTCTGGTCGGTAGACGATGCACTGTTTGCTCACTTTCAATCTGCACCGTTTTTTCCCTCTCTTTCTACTTCTCTCTCTTTGTGGTTGATTGCATACCCATCTTCCTTTCTCTCTGCATTATTTTTCTATTTCTATAGTTCTCATTCTTTCTGGGCTACGCTTTACTAAGTTGCCTCCTCCTATCTCTCATTCTTTCTCTTATACCGGCCCCACCACTGTGGCCTAGTGGCTAAGCTACTCGGCTGCTCACCCGCAGATCACGGGATCGAATCCCGGCTGCGGCGGCTGCATTTTCATCGCAGGTGAAAGTGCTGTAGGCCCATGTGCTCAGCTTTGAGTGCGCGTTAAGGAATTTCAGGGGGTCGAAATTTCTGGAGTCCTCAGATACGGCGTCACTCACATACATCTGGTGTTTTTGGAACGTTGAACTTGACATATAAACCAATTTCCTTATATCGGGTAGATACTATAGAACAGTTTTAACCTATGATACCAAAGCATAAGTTTATTTGTAATAATCAGAAGAAATAAAATTTTAAGTGAACGCCATAATGACAAGCACATTGTTTTTTTGTGAGCACCTAAATAGATGCGGCACCTGGTGGTTACGCTCAATTTACGTTTGGAAAAAGTAAGTATTGTTTGTTCTGCTCTTGCGTAATCCTACGGAACACGCATATGGCTCTCTCTTTAAAAAGGCACTTAACATTCCGGCAGTGCTTATGCTCTCTTCTCAGAGTCGTGTGTCCCACAAAAGAGTCGACATGCCTCTCCTAATATTTGTATACGTGGCACATTAGGACACCTGGAAGGAGTCCGAGGACATTTTTTTCCTTACAGTGTGTTTCCGTCGGTGGGCGTAGCGTAGCCACTGTGCAAGAACGGCTTGGGCAGGTGTTGTGGTATCTGGTCTCTACACGATGCGAGTTTGCTCTCTTTTAAAGACAATAGTCTTTCTTGGGGACCGTCGACAAAAAAAATTTCGTCTGGGTGTCTGTCTGTACATTTGCTTGTTTGTCCGGCCTTAGCGATACCTCAAATGGCCGACCCCATCGGCAGCACCCGCCAATATTGTTGAAGGTTGCAGCGTTCATACTTGTGCGATCGCCAATTAAAAAGCAATTATTGCGCATATATGAAGTACCACAACAACACGCCGATGTTTTATATGTGTGCCTTTACACTATAGAGAATGCACACACAAGTAATTAGAACCATATCGTCTATCACATTACACTGAGTGCAACGTGATGCTCAAAAGGCAAGTGTTACCAACGCTTTGCTAAGACGATACAGGTGGGGGCACCTGTCCGTCCGCTTTGCGATCTAAAACCTTATTGCCTTTGAGAATATCACGCATTGTTCTCTGCGTGCGCGAGTGCCTTCCTTCGTTTCGGAAAATAACTGCCAGATGGCGCTCGTGGTCTAACGTGCCTCGATGTTCTCGTTCGCTCCGTTGCACGCTCGAGGTCACTCTAACGCAGCGCCTCCAGAATATCATTCTCCGAATTTCTCGCGTAGAACATCAAATATTGTTGTGTTCACTCTCTCCAGACGCAAGACTATCGTCTTTAGACAACATTTTTATTTATTTATTTATTTATTTATTTATTTATTTATTTATTTATTTATTTACAGTACCTTACAGGGCCTTCGAGGGGGCATTGTGTAAGGGGGGGGTACAGATAATATGTTAGAAAAATATATATACATAATATCAACACATACTTAGGCAAATAATGAATATAATAGAAAATGCAGTTCAACTTATGAACATGTAAGCAAAACACACAATAGAAAAGTGAGTTACAGTATGTGAAGGTGAAATACAAAAAAAGAACTATTATGACAGTAACTACAACCTAGCAATAGTGAAAAATCATCGGCAACAGTCTTATAAACACTGATGATTACGAAAATGCGATAGAGCAGTTTCTGGTGCATAGTATTTTTTAAGAGTATGATAGAAGTTTGTGTGGACTTGTTCTGACGCAAGATCATCTGGCAAATCATTCCACAAACGAATAGCTCGTGGAAGAGCCGACTGGTTGAAAGCGTTAGTATTGCCGTACATGCGTGATAAGCTAAAGGTGTTGTGTAGTCTGCTCGAAGTTCGATTTGCAGATTAACATGCAGATACGGGGCCAATTTTTATCTCCTTCGTTTTTTCTCTCTGTCTACTTCCTTCTCGCTATCATTGATTTCGTCTTCGTATTTTTTGTTTTTGCCTTTCTTCTCCATTTCTCTAATTCTCTTTTTTTTTTTTTGAGGGTACGCTTTACTAGCTTGCCTCCTCTTATCTTTCATCTTTTCTCTTATATCGGGTACATACTATAGGGACTTTCAACGAATACCTATTATACCGAAACATAAATTCATTTATAATGATCCACACCTAACTTTCATAAGAATGAAAAAAAAAATAACTGAACAACCAAAATTGAAAGCGCATGGTTTCCTCGTGAGCAGCTAAGTTCGATGTTGCACCTGGCGGAGCATATCTGAACCCCACTCTTCCAAGTGGTCTCTTAAATACGCTTTTGTGCTGCGATGAAAGGCTGTTAACCGAAATAGTACACCAGGTCACACAAACACCGAGGTGAATGTCGCTACGAGATATACCCAAGAAAAGTAAGGTCACCTGTGATAATTTTTAAAGCTACGGTCTTCTCAAAGCAGCCTCATCAGCATGCGTATCTTGGTTATTGTATTGCTGGGGCCTCAAGAAAGGGCCGTGGACTTATCATTAGCGGCCTGCTGCTCCCAAAGAAGCAAAATGTTTGTAACTTTACAACTTAATACTACGTGTTTACAAGCTTAGTGCGAGTAAAAACTTCTTTTTTCATGTCAGCTACAGAGACGAAACTGTCCTGAAGGATATTTTTTTTCAGAAGGCTGTCTTCTAGACGAAATATGTGAGAACATAAACGCGGAAGTAAATCCCTGTATTTTAGAATTGGTGTGCATTTGTCAGAACAAAGATCAGCATCAGACGTTTTATTGAATCCCGATTTCGAGTTCCTCTCAGAAAATATATATAAAGAGATATTAAAAATGCGTTGTTGAAATGGAAACATTTGATATTATTTCGTTGTAACCCTTTCTCGCCTTTTTTTATTGAACCATTGCTGTCCCAGTTCTAGCGGTAGTAAAGTTTGTGACTCCAGCACCTTAGCTCGGATCAGTTTGACCCCACTGAACCAGGGTAAAGATGAAAGAAGTAGTCCGATTGCTCTGAAGATCACGCAAAAGATGCAGTCAATAAAGTACATTTTCTGCGGGGACACTTGCGTTCATGAAACCAAGAAATACTTTATCAGGTGATAACCCGTATATACACTCTGTATACCAACGTTTGCTTTGAGCACGTTATAATGGCTTACCATGACAGGACATGGTCGAAGTAGTCACCATAAATGACTTTTCCCTCGAGAAAGGCATCGAAGAAGATGTCGAAGCTAGCTGACTCGGGACGGAACAAGGGCATAGTCCTCATATGCGTGTAATAGGAAGCGCAGCAGTCGAAAGGATTTCGAGCCATGTAGATGTACCTGTGCAAGTACGCGGAAGAGTCAAAGCGTGACGACACCGTGTAATTGTCTGCTATTCACAATTTATGTCATATCAAAACCATGTATACACAGGACTAGGCCTATTTAAAAACCGTGAAGAAAATGCAAAGACGCCAAGCGAAAGAAGTGGCTGGAGTTCTTGCGAGCGCCTAAACTATGCTAACGTATTTGTTGTAATGAGCGCAACACCTGTACTGCATTCCCAATTCATGTATTAATACGTTCTGTAATACCCAGGGGCCTGATTCACAAAACTCACTTACGAAAACATTTTTGCGCAAGAGAAATTTCGTTGCGTAAGTCGATTCACGAAACGAAAAAACGTCGTAAGAGGCCATCGTTGTCACATCGGCCGCTGCAAATAAAGTGCGCTGTGACTGCCCGGGAACATGTCAGCGATGGTGACGCAGTTGCTATATTTGCATACGTCACCGAAAAGTGCTCGTAAGTGGATTCACGAAGCGAAATTGTCCGTAAAAACAGCACGGCTGAGAGAAAATACTAAGAGTGGTCCGGACCACTCGTAGGAACATTGTGGCTAGTTAGAACCTGCTGCCGCGGCGGTATACTTTGGTGCCCTGGCTGGTTTTGAGTTAATTCACGCCCATTAAGGGCTGCCTGATGACTGCTGGTGCATTTTTATTTCTTTCGGCGCTTTGAGCTTCGCGTGTTGTTTCCCTTGTACGCAGTGGATGGTGTTGACAACCACCACCGTCCAATAAGTTCGAAGTCGCAGTAATTGAAGAATTCTAATGGGCGTCAATGGCATAAAACTACGCATGTAAAGATTTGTGGTTGGATGAAAACCAATGTGTTACGTGAATGATCCGTGCATTCGAACGCGGCATGGCATAGGATCAACCTTATTTGTTATGTTGTTGTGTTGCCCTCATCCAATTCTCATCCAATCTCATCCAATTAAAAGTGCGACTCGAGATCCTTGCCTCATTGGTGGAAATTACCAAAAAAGAGGTTAATGGAGCACATGCTTTGCACGCTATTGGAAATAAAAATGAGAGGAAGTTTTCAAGGAGTGGTTCATAAAGTTTGTGCTCTAGTGTACTTTCATTGGCTCTAACTGTCCTATGATTGCGATCTCTGAAATACAGCAGTCGATACACTTTGGGACGATCTGGAACAAAGCGTACTTTGTAAACCAAAGCGTATTAGGGGTGCGCGTGATTACGCATGGAACTACAAACAAATCATGCATCTTCACCTTCACTGTTCAGACACCGATATGGACCATAATAATATGGCAAGCAATCGGAATGAAATGACCCTAGTAACTTTGTATGACACCGAAAATATGCAAACCCTCATGATTCTGGAGCAAACCTTGGCTGAATTCATCCCTACGTCAATTACCAGCCATTTAACTTGGCGCACGAACATCATTCAAAGGTAGAGCGAGCCACTGACATGTATTTTGTGCGACGCAGCGACCACTTGACCTGAGAATAATAGCTTTGCGAAGGCGAATGTCCTATCGCATGCTCTGATCGAAGCAGACGACAAACGCGAGCAGACGACGGCTTGGCCTACGGGCACAGCTTGTGATTGGTTGTGAAGCCATACCCTCTACATCAGCTCACTCCGTGACGTTGCCAAAACACTTCTTTCATCTGGCACGCCTGTCGTGTTCGTCATATCACCCCTCTCGCACATAAGAGCAAATTTTTTCACGCCGTCAAAATAGTTCAAGTACTTTCTAAGAGCTCTCTTATCGTCTTATGTGCTGCGCAGTTGTCGAAAACAACATGGCGTCGTAAACAGCATATCGGTCGGTGCGACTTTCAGCAAACGCTTCTCGCACGAGTTACTTCAGCGTTTGACCGGTTCTGTTGTGATTACAGCAGCTCTTTCGGTGCGTGTAAGCAGTGCGGAAAGCTGTGGCAATGCAATGGTGTACGGTGAAGCGCAGCGAAGCCTGTGCGTCGGTGTGGTTATCAAGCGGGGATCGGCGTCGATGTATCGACGGCAACTAGCACTCGAGAAGCCTGCAATGTGTGTTTGTGTGCCGGTAACAGTTCGTTCGCTTGACTTTCCAGTCTCTCAGTTGGGTGCTGTGCGACATTTCGGATTGCCAGCGTTTTGACACGTTACTTGAGTAACCCCAAGTACGTACGGAAACGTATGAACTACGCGCTCGGTTCTTGCTTCGCCACTAGTTAGCCCGTACGCTTCTAATTACTTGAGAGCAATGTACTGTTCGGGAGTGAAACGATGTTCGTTGTGAACAGTGGTGCTGTATTGACGTTCCAAGACTTGTGAACAAGCTGTGCTCGTGTGACCGAAAATTGAAAGACAGCGTTGATAACTGTTTTGCCCTGCGAAGTTGTGGTGGGGCAGCTTGGCGCTTTTGTTTGTTAAGTCGTCACTTCTCCTTTTTGTGATAACCATAGTCCTAGCGCTGTGATGTGATCAACCAAAACTGCGTAATGCTACCTACTGTTGTGGATCGTGTTACTTTGGAAGCGCGCCTAGACTGTTCTTCGGTAACAACTTGAGAGTTCTATGTGGCAGCGAGAACCCGTGAACGTCAAGCTTCCCTCTGGCCCCGAGAAAAAGCAAAGATTTCACCGGTGCCTTGCTTTGGATGAAGTTGTGGGCCAATATCGTCTAACTACAAGTTTCCGAGTTCGTCTGGCCATTGTTTTGTACGGCACTAGAGCCTTGACAACAGCCGGTCATGGCCAGTTCTTACACTTTATCAATGGACGTGCACGCCTGGCTAGCCCTTCATTGCTGTCATTGGCAGCTTCCAGTCTGCAGATGCCCTTTGCCTGTTGGCCGTACTTGGTTCCTCATGACACCGACGGCTACTAAATGCTGCCATCGGTGAGTTCACCTTGCAGAACTAAATTTCACCGGTACTATAATTCACGCAGTTCTATAACGTGTGCAAGTTTTTAAGCCCATCAGATGTAATGTTTCTCTATGGTAAGTGAAGCATGAAAAGTTACTACTACTGTTATATACATACATATATTATGGAGCAAATACATAAGTTTTTTGTGATTTGATACAAGTGAGCTTTTGTTGATTATTAGGTTGGGCCTGTCGATTGACCACGTTTGATAGTTGGAAAGTTAATGTGAATTTTTTTTCGGGAGCCAGGTTGCACTTAAAAAATTTATGTTATTTGGAAAATTAGATCTATAGACGATTACCACTGTGGTAGTACTATACTTCAGTAGGACATATATATTGCGGTACGTAAATTTTACATGAGGCTTCAGTTTATTTCAAAGTGATTATAGCAGATTTTGGTCACTTGAACGAAGTGATAGCTTCCTCAAACAAGTATTAGAAGTGAGTGCTTTTAATGATTGTTTTTAAATATCTCGTTTTCGGCTCTTCAGAGATCGCAGAGATTGGTTTGTTAAGGTCCTGTGATGCATCGGTGCACATTCTGACACATCAATCCTCATGATTACTTGGAGCACCTGTACAAAATAGGAAGGACACGTTCTCCCTAACTGTGCAAGCCTATGTCACTGCTGGGACTGTTATCATTCAGCGGATGTGGCGTGGAAGCATGCATGGCAGCCTCATCTGGAAGGACTGCGATCTGCTTGGGAGCTTCGAGGGCACAAAACTGCCTAACGGCTGGCTGCAAAGTTAGTTTTTCTTTAAAACATACGATTACGTGAACACCACTTACTGTGCAGAAATTGAAAACCCAAGCATGGTTGCTTTCAGTGGATACCTGTAATATTCTTACACATAATTCTTATTCAACATTTATAGAACTAAATTGCAAGATAATTGAGAATGTTGAAAGCTGAAAGCCTGCAGCTTATGAGTGAAACTCCAATAATCTGAGACTCAAAAGCTTGTGCTTTCAAACGAGCACAAATACTTTGATTCCTTATTGAGCTCTCGAGCATGTAACTCTCTCTGTGGATCAAGTGCTCTGGAAGGAAATAGCAAGTGGGTGAAAGTTGCCTGGCTGTTCACAACTTGCAAGGAGAAAGACCTATTGAAGAAGCCTCAAATGACATAGGGCCAGTAACTGCATATTTTACCTAATGTAGCTTTTTCTCTCTCAGTGCTGCTGCTTGTGTTTCAGCCGAACATGTTCACCACGATTGCATAGTCATATATATTTTCTATAAATTGTACCCGACCTAAGTATGCATTGTTGATCTCTAAAGGTAACGTTCAGTGTGTTTCGAAGCCATGGCTTCTCATTTCTCTGTCTGTGGCTAGCCTATTTCAGCAGCAGAGCGATGCAGCTAGAACATACAATCCAAGTCATGGAGCGCTCCTTTGGTGTTCTGTGCAGGACGCAGCATATCCATCCGGCAAGACACTGGTATCAACAATAATGGTGAGTGTTAGTGGCACCTGTAGGAGCCCGTTGTGTTTGTTGTGTATGATTATTTCTCCTGATGAAGTGCATTTTTGAAAGGTTTTCTTCATTTAGAATAATAGATGTCAGCAACAAGCACACTCATAATCCACAAGTTCTTTGTGTCTTCTAGACTGCCCATTTGCTCCTATATGCGGTATGGTGAGCTGGCTATGTTAGACAGCCTTAAAGTTATGAACATTGCGCCGTTAAAGTTTAAAGTTGAATGCTGACTCTCATCAACTTTTGTTTGATCAGATGTGTTGTAATGCAGTCTAACTTGTGTTTCTTAGTGAACTTATTTGTGGTCTACTTCTCGCACCTAGTGTAAAGTCGAAATAGAAGAAACTCTATTGGCTTTTTATGCCTGTCAGAAGTTTCATGCCTTCATCTATAACATTGTAGTTTTGCTCTTGTATCATATTAAATATATTTTCAGTCTTCACTGTTTGTGTGTGTGTGTGTTGAGGCTTGTCATTGGCTTCTGAAAATACAATATCTGTAAATATGACCACATATTTGACAACTATACACTCTTGCATGTAGCATGGTTGTAACAATGACCTGTTTTTTTCTAAGTTCCAGCAGTAACGAGGGGTTCGGTTGCTCCACGGTCATGTAC